AGGAAACATGGTGACAAGACATTCAAACGGCAATAGCAGATGCCAAGCTGCAAAGTGTCTCTTGTGCCCTTGAACAGAACCTCTCTTGATCATTCATCAGATAATCTGGACAGCAAAGGACACAGGAAACTTACTGTAAAAACATCATCGTCACCAAGCTCAGCTTCATTATGGATGGTGGAGGATGATGTGGTGGAGCCTAAAAAGACAAACACGTAATAAGAAGGGTTTCCAAAGAGGGTAAGTCAAATCCAATCATTTAAAGAGCATATTTTAATAAAACCTCATTCCATTCCTTTCGAATATGATTCACCAGCAAAAATAAGTTACCTGGGAATTAAATGCTTTTAATTTACTCTTCTTTAATTGACTCTTGCCAGGATGCTCTCTAAATTAGCTTGGCTTACTGTTATTCCCAATTAATCACCCAGACTTCTACACTGGCTATTAGGGAAAAAGCCAGTGGAGAGGTACCACCAAAGACCTGGTGGGCACACCCACCTGCTCCTCTGTAAGGACGCGCCGGGAGATCAGACCTCTGCTGGTGACCCCGAGGTCCCCATGGTGTCTGGGGAAAGCGCTGGACTGAGAAATCCCAAGTTAAACACACCACAACCTTACCCGGTAAACTTGACTTGGCTTCTCTGGTCGTTTCATCTACCTGTGAGGGAGTCTGACTAAATAGCTTGTATTCTAATATGGCACCCTAAAACCCAGATGTGGGAAGTGCTTTCTAAGCTGACATCAGGGCAAGGAGATGTCCTCCTGCAATACCAGGGCATCAGTGAGCTGACACTGCTTTTCCAGGTCAAGATTAGGCTCATGGCAGAAAACCCCGCACATTCCATTTCGGAACAAATTGGTCGCTTAGAATTCAGTGTATTTACTCTTTCACATCTTTCTTCATCCTGGTATGCAATCAGTAGAACTGCATTTGGAAAAAAGACTAAACAAAAATATGTATCTATAAGCAATCACTGCCTTCCCCACTTTTTCCCGTCTTACACAGCACCAATAATGTGTGCACTGAACTAACTGACACTGTTAATGGCCCAAAGAAAAAAACATAGATTTTGCATAAGTGACAGATGTACCAAAAGGGAACTTATTCTCCATCTTCTCCTCTTCTTGGTGAGGTCTTTAAAAAATGTACCTTTTGTTTAGCTCAGTGGTGAAGTCACTTCCGAGGTTCACTGTTCAGCCGGGGAGTGGATAGCCCCATAAAACCAAATGGGACTAATGAGGCACAGCAGTCCAGGGACAAGGGGTAGAAGGCAGAAGGGGACAGGAAAGCTGGTGATAGGGAACCCAAGGTTGAGTAAGGACAGTGTTGATGTGTTGTGAGATTGTTAACCATTGTCATAGGGCAACATGTGTACTAACTGTTCAGTGAGAAACTATTTTGATCTGTAAACCTTCATCTAAAGTGAGAATAGCAGCACAATTGGAAGAGTGTGGTCGATGTCACTGAACTGTGCATGTAGCAATTTTTGAAATGGTGTATCTTTGGCTATGTATATTTTCACCAAAAAAAAAAAGGTCAAGAAGGGAGAGGGTTGACACGTCGTGGGGTTGTTAACCAATGTCATAAAACAATATGTGTACTACTGTTCAATGAGAAACTATTTGTTCTGTAAACCTTCACCTGAAGTACAATTAAAAAAAAACTTTCTTTTTTAAAATGTGCCTTTTGAAAATATTTTGCTATGACATAAAATTGAAATTAAAAGATTTGCTCAGAAAGGGATAAGAAATACTTAAATTTACAATGAGGAGTTGGCGAAGGAAAAAAAAAAATCCAAAATACCTTCTGTAGAATTCCTCTTGGAATTCCTCCAATTGATCAATGTCTAAGGCAAGTTTGATAGAAAACAGCTAGGTACAGTGTGCACAGAGAAAGCAATTACAAGTAGGAGAATCAAATTTTATGTGTAGCTTCAGTGATTATTAAGTACATAGATAAACTGCAAACTTGTATCAATAATACAGGAACCATTTTCTCTCTGAATATTTAAAAAAGCTATTTTTAGTAACACATTTTAAATATTCGCCACTTATGTCAAATCTAAGATGTGAACACAAAACTGGGTTTTATTATCTCTTTTTGGCTTTCACATGGTTGTAGTTAATGGATTCATGTTCTAGCTAGAATTCTTATTACTGATTATAATGTTAAGTGTTTTTTCTCTCTTATCCCAAATCACAGTGAAGAAAATAATAACTTAAACAAATGAAACATACATTCTTTTGGGATTAATTTCCCCAAATTCTGAATTTGGCATTAACGTGCCTTCCTTGAGATTTCTTTCTCCATGGGGACCTTGGTTATGGAAACTTTTACATGGAGAAACTTTAACCCTTGATTTGGTAACTGAATTGTTGAAGTGGAGAATTTGTTGTGCATTTGTGGACTCTAGCCAACCCCACCATGAGAAATTGACAGAAAGGCCCTTCAAGGCCATGATCAATGTAACACAATGTCTACCTCTAACTCACCCACAGGCCAAGGCCTAAACTGAACCAAGGCTCCCGGAGTCACAGCTCCCTTTTCCTTCTCAGTGGAGGCTGTACACCCTGGCCTCTGATTATGGGACAGTGGGTAGACCTGGAGGCTCCTGGACCTGCCAGAATCCATTTTCCACTTCAGAGCCAAGACAGGGAAGACCCAAGCAGTTTCAGTAGTTAGGGCAAGGTCAAATCAGTCAAAAATTCATTCACATGGAATTCCAGAAATTATCTGCTTGTTCTTTCAGAGCAGAGCCTAAAAACCAGCTGAAATCACTCCTTATTTAGAAATCCATCTCCTCCACCTCTGTACTGGTACTTTAATTATCCTCCTTGGATCCTCCCAAAGATTTGACATCTACTGACCTGGCCCCCAACCCTTCTGCAAATAATCACAAATATATGATAGTAGACTATCAGAATTAAAAAGAACTTGAGAAGTTCCCATGGTCCCATTAAGAATGCAGTGATGAATTTAATACCTTCTATAAGGTCTTCGATTGCTTTCCTTACTCCCCTGTCAAAGGCTCGAGCATCAGCTGGGCTTTGGAAAGTAAGTCCAAACTTCCTATTATCGACCTTCCAATGATGAAATGTTGGATTGGCTTTGGTGTAGACCAAGTCCTTTCTTACATAGCATTCCAATACCACCTGGAGGATTGAAACACACAGGCTGGTTACTTGTGGAACTGCCATGATGGTGTCTGGTAGGAGTCTACTTAGGAACCATCACTGGTGGAAAGCCCTCTACCCTCTGCCTTCACATATCCGCAAGTCTCCCCATCTCAGAAGAAACCTTTGCTTGCCTCTGTTGACCATCCAATCTTTGATGACCTCTTCCCCTTGGCTCTGGTGACCCCTCACTGTACTGATCCTTCACCACTCTCTTCACCTCACTCATTCCTCTCCCTCCTGCCTCTGACTGTGGTACTCTAAGCTGAGGCCCTGGTCTTGGGTCTTTATTGCTTATATGTCAGGGCTTCTGTCTTGATGACCCTCAGTCTCTCCCCTGTCCTAATGGTGTCTGCCTGTAACCTCAAATTCAACAAGTTGAAAACTAATCTGTTTGGAAATTTCTGCCACTAACTTCTTTCATCTTCCCCATCTCTGGCAGTGTCACCCCGGTCTACTCATTCTCTTGGGCTCAAAATCGCCATGGTCACCTTAGCCTTCTCTGTATTCTCTGTTCTCTACAGTATTAATCCATTTCATTTTTCCTTCGACGTCTTTTGTATCAATCTCATTTCAATTGCTACCACTCCGATCTGGGCCTCTATGAACCTTACATTTGGATTACTAGAATACTCTCCAAGGTGTTAGCAATCTAGCCTCAGAACTGCCTTTTACTAAGCTTTAACTTTGAGTAGGTTGTTTCTAACCCTCAATCATTTTATCTCTAAAATGGAAATAATACCAAGGTTATCAATGCGAACATATATATGAACATGCTCTAAAACACTGAATAAATTAGAAGCTTAACAAGGCCAAACTCATTTCCCAGTATATTCCCACCATCAAAGTCTTTTCTTCTAGTTCTTCTTGTCGTCTTCAGTTTAGTCTCTCATTACATATTGTTAACAGTTTCGTGTGCATTAGTTTTGTTGCTCTAACTAGACTGTAAAGGATCCATATAGAAAATAACTCTCCCTGTGTCTAGTACAGTGCTACTGTTGATAAAGATCTAGAGTAAAACGCACTGCAATATGTGAATGTAAACATCATTCTTTATTCACCAAAAAACCTTCAAAATCTTTACAATATTTATGCCTATGGCTTCATTATGAATACTATAATGAATTTTGCTAAGTTTGCCTTGCTCTTGTTCTGGCAAAGTTTTGCGTTTAACACAATGAGATCTTAATTTAGATTAATTGAAAAGAAGGAGTGAAGGCCTGCTTAAATTAGAATAAATTTAAATTAGAGAATATCTTTAAATTAGTATGAATTGCAAGAATACATCTAGCAAGCAGAAATTAAGTGCTACCTAATAAATGTTCCCTAACTTAATTAAATAGATGAGAATAATCAAATTGGCATATCAAATAGCAGTCCCAAGCAGTTAACTTTATTACATTGTATTAAAAGAGGACAACAGTGCCCTCACACATTCTATTTATAATTAAATTCCTTATTATGGCCATTTTCCCCTAAGAATAGTGCAATGATTAAATGTCAGCCCAGCCCCATTCCAAATTGGGGAAATC